AGTGCCATTCAATGGCGTCGTAAAAGTTTTATTAAATTTGTTACATTCAATGGTGCCATTCAATATTTTTGAGTTTACATTAAGAAATAGTATAATTAGGTCAATGACTTAGCCTATTTTAGTTCAATTTTTTTAAAATATGATGTTTCAAAGAAATATTTGTTTTTTGACATTGGAGCTTTTATATAGGTAGGAAGCCTATTCCAAAAATTTAATCCAAAAAACCAATGTCTTGAATCACTTATATTATTTGAATTAAAAAAATAAAAAATAATGTAACTATGTCTTAACCTAGTCAAAACAAGATGAAACTTTTAGAAAATATTTGGGACAAATTTAACTTTTTAAAAGACAAAATTAGTAATTTTTTTAAAAAGTTAAAAAGAAAAATAATTATCATATAGACATTTCAAATTTATTTTAGTTTTTTAGATATTTAAAAAATTATTACAATTTTACTTTTAAAATATATAAAATATATAATAATATATCCTTTATTTTATAGTTAATAAAATTTATATTTAAATTTATTATTTAATTATAGTATATTTTAATATTTATTTATAATATAATATACTATAATATATATTTATTATTTTAATATATATATTATTTATTATAATTTATTTTAAGCCAATTGAAGTTTTAGACTGATTGACTAGTTCAATTATATATGTTGATTTATTAAAAAAATAAAGAGAGAAGATATTATTTTTTGAAAAATATAAACAGATCGAGCCCTCTCTACATATTTTTAGAAATGCGGCACTCTATATGAAAAATTTTTAAAACTAAAATTATTTTTTCAGGAATTTACCTCTAGCTTTCAAAAAGAGGAATTATTGGGCTTCTATTAGCCCGAGCATTATGGTTGGTCTGCGTACAAAATAACCCGACTCAGAATCATTTGCCTTCTTCCCACATGAGGAAACATCGCAACGTAAACCGATTCCGTGGAGCATTAGAAACAAAAGTCGTACCCCACCTGCGGCGGAGAAAGAAGATCGCAGAAATCGAGCGGAGGGTTTCGAGGCTCCGTCTCCGTTCTCTCTCTCAGCCGGTCGCTGCGAAGTGGAGCTAGGGTTTGGTCCGACCCTCCAGGTGCGTGTTCCTTCCTTCCCCTTCCCCTGTTCCCGGTCTGAGATCCTGGATCCTGTGTAATATGAAATGGGGACTTCTTTGGATCTTCTCTCCTCTTGTGTTGTTAGATTCATGAGCTTTAGCCACATTAGGAATTTGGTTGTCGAGTCTCGTTGTTTTTCGTGCTTTTAGACGTTCTTAGTTGGAATATTTGTTCCAAAATTTCGATTTTTTACCCGAGTGTTTTTCGCTGAAAGGGGGGACATCGGTCGTATTTTTTCGTCTTTTGTGTTGTTAGAACATGGAGTTTAGTCCAAATCTAGAGTTTGGTATTCAATTTTGTAGCACTCGTGCCTTTTAGGGTGTTTTCCTTTGGATATTTTTGTGCTAAAGTTTCTATTTTTATCTTAGCCTTTGTGGAATCCGTTGATCCTTTCTGCAGCTGGGCCAATTATATAAGCATAAGTTCTTTTGTGCATGTGCAACAGTACCATCACTATGGATATCCTTTTATTTTGCAGGTTCAACTGGCTTGAAATTACAATGGCTATGATCGATGAGCCACTCTATCCAATCGCTATCTTGATAGACGAGTTGAAAAATGAAGACATTCAGCTGCGCTTAAATTCCATTCGCAGGTTATCTACCATTGCAAGGGCTCTTGGTGAAGAAAGAACTAGAAAAGAATTGATTCCTTTTCTTTGTGAAAATAATGATGATGATGACGAAGTGCTTCTTGCCATGGCTGAGGAGTTGGGCGTGTTCATTCCATACGTTGGTGGGATACAACATGCTCATGTCTTGCTCCCTCCACTGGAAACTTTATGTACTGTGGAAGAAACTTGTGTTAGGGACAAGGCTGTTGAATCTCTTTGTCGGATTGGAGCTCAGATGAAGGAAAGTGATTTGGTAGAGTGGTTCATTCCCTTAGTAAAGGTCAGACAAAGGGGAACTATCTTTTTTTGCTTTCTATTTAAAACTTTTTTACGAACATATTGATTTAATCCTGTTCAAGTATTAGATATCATGTTCACCAGAATCTTATAGCAGGACCCAAACTTCTAACTTTCTGACTGCTACATTGCACCTTAACCGCTAGTATGTCTTCTCGTAGACATATTTGTTTTGCTAGTGCTTCATTGACTTTAATCTTCTTACGATTTTGCCTTCATCTTATCTGTTTTGTTGAGTTTGATCTTTTATTGTGCATGATTTTTATACTAAAGAAACTTGACACTCATTTCTTTTCCTTTTATGCTGTATAACTCAAAAAATATTCCTGTTCTGACTTCAGGTTTCAAATTACCATTCTTGGTTACCACTATCAATGATTATTGAAGTATCAACACCCAAAACTTTTTCAGCCAGTTCTTGATGTATGATAATGTGAACAAGTTATAAGTAAATGTATTCCTGAAGGATTTTTGGAAAGTCAGGTTGCTTTGCATGAGGATCTACTAATTCTAGAATTTGCAATTTTCTAACAATTTCCTTTTTTGTTATGGAGAATACAGTTAACTAGTTTTAATTCGGGCTTGGTTGAAACTAATCCGGACTATTATTGTCATTTTTATTTTTGGCTTCTCTAGAAAACATTTGTTGCTTACTTGCTTATTGAAAGATAACTATTATACTATAATATGCTAGATCTTGGCAGAATTTAAGGTTTTAAAGCTTGATGTAAAAAAAAAGCAAAAATCATTTGCTTAATTCAAGCACATAATTATTCAAATCATTCATGAGAAGCTAGTAGTTTGGATATAAAACAGTGGGTTCTCTAATTTTGCATATCATGTCCTTTATGACCTGAGAGATCAGGATTTGAATCTTGAAAGTAGCATTTCGAAATATAGAGGTAAGGCTATGCACATTAACCATTCTTGTACCCCACATTGGTGAGAATCTTATGCGCCAGGTTTGTCATCTTTTTATGATGTGTATTATCTAATTGGGAAAGTTTTAGTAATTTGACAATCATGCAAGTTAATTTGAAGTTTTCACTGACTACTTTCATAGTTATTTGATCAAATGTGACATCAGCATGAATATTTGATGCTGTGGACTCTCTATTTTGTTCAAAATGTTTATGTAAACTGCACTGTTCTTGAAATGGGTAACATATAGCTTGGATTCAGGCATGATGAAGTTGATGCCCTGTTGGCAGGTCTAAGTCTTGTTTACAAATTCAGATCAATAGAACCTAGCTTTACTTTTATTTTGGTTAATATTTTAATTAATAAAAGTGCAACTTCTTGTTATTGAGGAACTCTATGCCCGTGGTCATGTGATTACATTTTTGTAGGAAAATGGTAATTTTGGCATATCCTGCTTGAACTGATCACTTCTAACTTTGAAAAGCCGAAAATGGTAATTAGATCTGATTGTTGAAAGAATGACTGATGTGAGAACTTGTACTTTTAACTGTTTATGGCTAGACTTTTGCCTTGTGGTTGCCTACTTATGTTGATGTCTCTTTTCAGCTGGACTTATGCTTTGTCGCTACCTACTTGTCTTAATTTATTTTAGATTCTTGTTTACCTAATCATTATCTTTGTTCATGCTTTCATATATGTTTTTCAGAGATTAGCAGCAGGTGAGTGGTTTACTGCTAGGGTCTCATCTTGCGGACTGTTTCATATTGCTTATCCAAGTGCAACAGAGCTGTTGAAGGCAGAGCTGAGGTCTATGTATGGGCACTTGTGTCAAGATGATATGCCTATGGTTAGGAGGTCTGCTGCATCAAATCTTGGGAAATTTGCTGCTACAGTTGAACCAAACACTCTAAAGACAGATGTCATGTCTATATTTGATGATTTAACACTGGATGGTATTCAAATTTATTGTTTTTAGAGAAACTTGCTACTTCTCCAATACTTGTTTGATTCTTTTTTTTGCCTGTTTGATTTTTTGCCTCATTGATTGAACATACAGGCTTGTTAACTTGCTTTTCTATGGCAGATTTTTTCCTTTTGATAATTGATATGATTCTAATATTCCTGCACTACCTTGTCCGTATTTAGAAGATTCCATACTTGCATCTGTTATCATATTGATTCCATATCTATCAATTCCTTGATCAGGTGTAAATATTAGTTTTAATTTAAAAAGAGTATTGTCTGTTTGCATACACCCACTTGGAAAAAGCCTGAAATTAAGACAACCCGCCTTTGATTGATCAAGCATTGTCTGTGTTTCACTGGGCTAGACATTTGTTTACTTCTCTTGATCAAACACTACTTGAGCATATTACTGAATTTAGATGTTAGTGTTCTCTTTATTTTTTCCTTTTCAAACTTGAGAGTTATGGAAGAAAATAGACGATAGAGAATTGGACACGAGTACTGCTCATTTCATTGACGATGGTATATGCCGAAGCCAAACCATATATGTCCCAGCTAAAGAAATTCACCATTAATGGACCTAATCAAAGTAGGCAATACCGAATGTTACTGTCCGGTACGGGCGGT